TAGGAAAAGGTGGGCAGGCCGGGCGCGGTGGCTCTTGTCTGTAATCCCAGCATTTTGGGAGGCCAAAGAAGGTGGATCACCTGAGGTCAGGAGTTTGAGACAAGCCTGGCCAACGTGGTAAAACCCTGTCTCTACCAAAAATACAAAAATTAGGTGGGCATAGTGGGGCACCTGTAATCCCAACTACTTGAGAGGTTGAGGCAGGAGAATTGCTTGAACCCAGGAGGTGGAGGTTGCGGTGAGCCGAGACTGTGCCATTGCATTCCAGCCTGGGCAACAAGAACGAAACTCAATCCCCCCCAAAAAAAAAAATGTGAGCGAACAGGGGCAGTTCTCCCTCTGGGCTGCAGTTTTGTCCTGGACCAACAGTTCAGTCTTTCAGCCACCAGGCTGTTTTAGGCTTGAAGGTGGGGTTCCACCAGGGATCCTTGGCTGTCTCCTGTCTCTATCATCATACCTATTTTAAAATTCATATATACCCCAACAATGCTATTCCATGTGAATTCTATATTCTTTGAAATGACTACATATTACACACTATGGATTTGGATCATGATTGATAAACACTTAGGTGCCTTCTGAGTTAGAATTAATTAAAATTTAAAATATTAATAGATGTTGATAACGATAACATGGCTCCATTCCCCTCATTTAGAAATATATTGAGTACCTACAATGTGCGCAACACCATAAACATTAGAAAATATGGAACAGACATAGTCCCTTCTATTAGTGGCAGTGAATCCATAGGGGTCTGCAGCAACCTCATTTCTTGCCGCAGAAGAAAAAATTTGACTGAGGGCATAAGGCAGAAGGAGAGACCAAGGCGAGTTTTACAGCAAGAGTGAAAGGTTATTAAAAAGCTTTAGAGCAGGAATGAAAAGAAGTAAAGTACATTTGGAAGAGGGCCAAGTGGTGACTTGAGAGATCAAGTGCCCAGTTTGACCTTTGACTTAGGGTATTATATTTTGGCGTACTTCCGGGGTTTTATGTCCCTTCTCCCTTGATTCTTCCCTTGGGATGGGCTGTCTGCTTGCACAGTAGCCTGCCGCTACTTGGGAGGGGCCACATGTGCAGTGTGTTTACTGGAGTTGTACGCATGCTCTCTTGAGGCATTCTTCCCTTACCAGTTGAATGCTCCTAGAAGATCACATACCAGTAAAACTCTGCCATTTTGCCTCTTAGTGTGCATGCTTGAGCCCACTTGCCCAAATCCTGAGATCTTAGGCAGCTGATCCCCAGTTTCAGTTTTTTCTATTATATCTACTGGGAGACTGCCTTTTCCTGGTGCCCACTGCAACTTATTATTATTATTATTACTTTTTGAGACAGAGTGTTGCTCTGTTGCCCAGGCTAGAGTGCAGTGGTGTGATCTCGGCACACTGCAACCACTGCCTCCCAGGTTTAAGCGATTCTCCTGCCTCAGCCTCCTGAGTAGCTGGGATTACAGGCACACACCACCACACCTGGCTAATTTTTGTATTTTTAATAGAGATGTGGTTTTGCCATGTTGGCCAGGCTGATCTCAAACTCCTGACCTCAGGTGATCTGCCCGCCTTGGCCACCCAAAGTGCTGGAATTACAGGCATGAGCCACCATGACAAGCCTCTCAAATCTTAAGTTTATAACCCAGTGAATTTTAACATACGGGTACACCTTTGTACCACCCAGATAAAGATTTAGAATATTTCTAGCGCCGCGGAGGGCATCAATGTTACCTTTTGCAGGCAATACTCACTCCTTGCCCCTAGATAACCATTATTCTAATTTCTTTTCCTTCCCTTCCTTCCCTTCCTTCCTTCCTCCCTGCCTCTCTTTTTCTTTTTTTCTTTTCTTTTCTTTTTCTTTTTTTTTTTTTGTATGTGTGTGTGTGACAGGGTCTCACTCTGTAGCCCAGGCTGGAGTGCAGTGGAGCAATCTCGACTCACTGTGACCTCTGCCTCCCAGGGTTCAAGCAATTCTCCTGCCTCAGCCTCCCAAGTAGTTGGGATTACAGGCAGGCACCACCATGCCCAGCTAATTTTTACATTTTTCAGTAGAGATGAGATTTTGCCAGGTTGGCCAGGCTGGTCTTCAACTCCTGACCTCAGGTGATCCACTCACCTCAGCCTCCCAAAGTGCTAGGTTTACAGGCATGAGCTATCATGTTCAGCCTCACTGTGGTTTTCATATACATTTCTCTAATGAATTTTGATGTTGAATATCTATTTCATATGCTTATTGGACATTTGGAAATCTTCATTTGTGAAGTGGCTTTTCAAGTTTTTGTCTATTATTTTGTGTATTGTGTTTCTGAGAAAGACATTTCAGGCAGAGGAAGTAGTGAGACGGCATGGAGTGGCTTGAAATGTAAACTGTAAGGTGGGGAGGAGGTGTAGAGAGCTAATATTATTATCACTGATTTATACATAAGAAACTGCAACATAAAGAAGCTAAATAACTCACTTGAATAAGTGGGAGAGCCAGTATTTAAATTTAGGCTCCAGTGTCTGTGCTCTTAACCACTGCAGTACACTGTCTCTAAAATACATAGGGGTGAAAGGAACCTTACAAGATTATCTGGTCTGGACTAATCCTTTTATTTATTTATTTATTCTTTTAGAGATGGGGTCTTACTATGTTGCCCAGGCTGGAGTGTAGGGGCTATTCACAGGCATGATTATTGCACAATACAGCCTCCAACTCCTGGCCTCAAACGATCCTCCCACCTCAGCCCTTGCTTAGCTGGGAGTACAGTCTTTTTTTTTTTTTTTTTTTTTCAAGACAGAGTCTCACTCTGTCACCCAGGCTGGGGAGCAGTGGCGCAATCTTGGCTCACTTCAATCTCTGCCTCTTGAGCTCAAGCGATTCTCATGCCTCAGCCTTTGGAGTAGCTGGGATAACAGGCATGTACCACCAAGCCCCGATAATTTTTGTATTTTTGGTTGAGATAGGGTTTCACCATGTTTTCCATGCTGGTCTTGAACTCCTGGCCCCAAGTGAACTGCCCGCCTTGGCCTCCCAAAGGGCTTGAATTAGAGGGGTGAGCCACTGCGCCTGG